TATATATATATATGTGCACATCAAAAGGGAATCCTAGCGGCAATCCTGATGTGTATTATTCAGCTCCCACCCGAGCCGTCTAAGGGCCAGTACAGACCACATAAAACAACAAGGAGATCTCGGAGAAAAAAAACAACCCTAAACCCTAAACCGTAGCCTACAACAGCCTGCCCTGCCTGCACATCCCGCTGGCGTGCAGCACCTCCCCGATGGATGCCTGCCTGGCATCCTCAGGCTCAACCTCCGGCTTTGTGAGGGTGTAGGGTATAGGACTTAGGGGGTCACAGGTTGGTATTAGGCCGTGTGGCGCCGCGACATCTCTGTTTGGGCTTGTTCTCGAAAGGGCTGGTATTCGCAGGACTTTTTTGTTTTTCCAGTCAACATTGGGGTTTATGTCTGAAGGCTGCACTGAGCGAACTAAAACTTCGGGGCGCTTTTCAGCACACTCGGCTCAAGTGTGTGGCGAAGTAGGCCGTCTTACCCAGTTGCACGCGACGCACAAAACCGTAAAGCCTAAACCGTAAACCCTTAACCCTACTAAAGCCTGAACCGTAAGCCTAAACCCCAAAGCATTTAAACAGTAAACCCTAAAACACATAAGCCGTAAACCCTAAACCCTAAAGCATAAACCGTAAACACTAAAAACCAATAACCTTTGGGCCAGACATGCTGGCTGTGTCTTACTCAACTGACACAGACTGCACCTAAAGCAACACCTGAAGCCTTCTGTACATAAAGCAGCAACAAGACCTGAAGCTTGAAGCCAAACCTGCTGCAACCCTGAAGACTCCTGCAGGGATTAGGGTTCCAGGGACGGAAATCAAACCGGACGCTACGCTATCAGCCCCCCCCTCCACCCCCCCACCCCACCCCCCTACCCCCCCCCCCTACCTGTCCTGACAGGGCACACGACAGGATGATCGATCAAGTTAGCAAAATCTTAGGACAAGCACATGGCCTGATACGCGCGTGTATGGACTTAGGGCTTCAGGGGTTGAGAGCTCATAGTTTAGGTTCTAGGTTTAGGGTTTTGGATTTGGGAGCTGGAAGGAGAAGGGCGGAGCACTTTTTTTTTCCTAACGTTGGCGGTCCCCGGTTTCCCTTGCTAAGGTTGGCGGTCCCGTTTTGGTTAGAACTACTATGCACTGCAGCATTTCCTATTGTTTTGCATCTAGCTATTAGGCAACTGCAATTAGCAGGGTGGCCTTTTGGGCTAGGGCTGGGGGTGGGGTTGGAA